TTATTTTGTTAGGCCAGGTAAATGAACACGCGTAGCACGTGCATCTCATGTTTTTTTTTGTGGAAAGCGGGTACTTATGACATCGAGGGTGTTGATTGGCTGACTCAATTATCTGGTAAACGCAACTTTATTGATTTTCAAAGATACGGTGAGATGCCTATCGACAGTTGAGTTTTCTTTATTTTAAATAACTTTAAATCGAAATTATTTTTTAAAACATTAAACTATGTGGAAGTTGTTAATATGGGACAGACACGCCAAGGATATAAATGATTTCAATGAATTTATCAAAAATGAGAAGGTCAGGTTTGTTGACCTGGATACGACTGATGGTGTGTATTGGCCTATTCAAAAAGAATTTTATTAATGTCATTTTCCATGACGCCCTCTACATATTCTGGGTCTTACCATGGATGGACCTCTGTGTCAAAACCACGAGCATGGCGAAGACGGTAATACAAGGATCGAGACACTCCATCATTTCGCTAAGGATACTGTGTTTGTGCCCCAAACGGACATCCACTGACAATGTGTTGGACAGCCTCATTCAATTCATAACCTACATTACATATTCACTCTTTGATGTAACATCACACATTGGGGGTTTCGAGAGAGGAGTGACCGGTCCGGAGCAACAAACTATCTATTTTACTTTTTAGGCAAGACGACTTCAACCAAGCAAGTGCTCTGCTGGGTTGTTGATCTTCTCAACACACTGCACATAAACTCGATGCAGAGAGCCTTGCCTTAAGAAACCGAACTTGTGCCCATTTGATGTTGAACCAATGTCGTATATAGGGCAGGTTGTCAAATTTGAAAATGTAAAAAAGAAAGAGAAATACGACAGAGAGGCAGATGGCTGATGGCGGGACAGATGTAGGATAGGTAAATATATATATATATGTAAATACACCTCTGAAACGGTCTGGTTTCGTGTACGTGGTAATGGGTCTGTTTGTTTTTGTGCAATAGGTTGCGTGCCGGGCGGCGGTCGTGGGTGTCGGTAAACACTGTCAGGAGTGTTAGTCAGTAAAAACAGGTAAAGTGAGTCTGAGTGCAAACATGGACTACACTACTGTGTAGACATCCACCTCCACACAGGGCTGGCCCTGCGTGGCCTACAACACCTACACGCGGGGGCGCCCTAGTTTTCTTGTAAAGCCAGAGTTTTTATAGCGTAGCCCCTGCCTCGCTTTCATTACAGGTGCGCAACTCGTGATGAACTCACAATACCATTTAGAAAGTGGTCAAATGTAACAAATGTTATATTTGGGATAACACTTTATTAGGAAAGTACAGATACAAATGCGTTAAATCGCTGACTTTCTGTGCTGGCGATAAGGTGCCTCACTCTGGCAGTGTGGGTTCGTATCCCGGATGCGACTACGAGACTATCCCAAACATAACATTTGTTACACGTGATGTAATAGAGAGTGGATGGGTTTTGAGTGCGTGCGTGCGTGCGTGCGTGCGTGCGTGCGTGCGTGCGTGCGTGCGTGCGTGCGTGCGTGCGTGCGTGCGTGCGTGCGTGCGTGCGTGAGATGTCGGCAATAGTATCGTGATGGACTGATAGCATTATTGGAAACGCCTCGAAATGATCAGAGGTAAGAGGATTGTGAAGAATAAATCCTGATTCTTGGTTTGTCCTACTTCACATTCCTCCCGCCCTGACACGCAGTGATATAGCGTAAACAGCAGTGTCTGTTGTTGTTTTTATTTGTTTGTTTGCTACTGAACGGCGTCCTGTAAATATTCAAGTCTGAAGCAATATTTCCAGGTGTATGACGGCGGTCTGCAGATAACTAACTCAACAATATTCCAGGTGTATGACTGCGGTCTGCAGATAACTAACTCAACAATATTCCAGGTGTATGACGGCGGTCTGCAGATAACTAACTCAGCAATATTCGAGGTGTATGACGGCGCTCTGCAGATATCTAACTCAACAATATTCCAGGTGTATGACGGCGGTCTGCAGATAACTAAGTCAGCCTGTATACAGTTGGTAGATTGAGATGAACTGGCGTGGAGAAGCCTGTTATGTAAAATCACTGCCTCCTACCTGTATCTATGCTTGTCAACCATACGCTGTACATCACTTGCTTGATAATGGTCGCTCCTAATTGTAATAAAGAAGTTGTCCATCCGTATATCTCATCCTTACTTAATGTATCACATGTCCATCTGTTACGTGTTATGGGTATGAAGTACTCTCGTCTCCACATTGTCATATTAATGTATAGAAACGTCTGTGGTCAACACGAACTGACATCAATGATGTGTGGTACTCTCGTCTGTACATTGTCGTATTAATGTATAGAAACGTCTGTGGTCAACACGTACTGACATCAATGATGTGTAGTACTCTCGTCTCTACATTGTCATATTAATGTATAGAAACGTCTGTGGTCAACACGTACTGACATCAATGATGTGTAGGACTCTCGACTCTACATTGTCATATTAATGTATAGAAACGTCTGTGGTCAACACGTACTGACATCAATGATGTGTAGTACTCTCGTCTCTACATTGTCATATTAATGTATAGAAACGTCTGTGGTCAACACGTACTGACATCAATGATGTGTAGTACTCTCGTCTCTACATTGTCATATTAATGTATAGAAACATCTGTGGTCAACACGTACTGACATCAATGATGTGTAGGACTCTCGTCTGTACATTGTCATATTAATGTATAGAAACGTCTGTGGTCAACACGTACTGACATCAATGATGTGTAGGACTCTCGTCTGTACATTGTCATATTAATGTATAGAAACGTCTGTGGTCAACACGTACTGACATCAATGATGTGTAGGACTCTCGTCTCTACATTGTCATATTAATGTATAGAAACGTCTGTGGTCAACACGTACTGTCATCAATGATGTGTAGTACTCTCGTCTCTACATTGTCATATTAATGTATGGAAACGTCTGTGGTCAACACGTACTGACATCAATGATATGTAGTACTCTCGACTGTACATTGTCATATTAATGTATAGAAACGTCTGTGGTCAACACGTACTGACATCAATGATGTGTAGGACTCTCGTCTCTACATTGTCATATTAATGTATAGAAACGTCTGTGGTCAACACGTACTGACATCAATGATGTGTAGTACTCTCGTCTCTACATTGTCATATTAATGTATAGAAACGTCTGTGGTCAACACGTACTGACATCAATGATGTGTAGTACTCTCGTCTCTACATTGTCATATTAATGTATAGAAACGTCTGTGGTCAACACGTACTGACATCAATGATGTGTAGGACTCTCGTCTCTACATTGTCATATTAATGTATAGAAACGTCTGTGGTCAACACGTACTGACATCAATGATGTGTAGTACTCTCGTCTCTACATTCTCATATTAATGTATAGAAACGTCTGTGGTCAACACGTACTGACATCAATGATGTGTAGGACTCTCGTCTCTACATTGTCATATTAATGTATAGAAACGTCTGTGGTCAACACGTACTGACATCAATGATGTGTAGTACTCTCGTCTCTACATTCTCATATTAATGTATAGAAACGTCTGTGGTCAACACGTACTGACATCAATGATGTGTAGGACTCTCGTCTCTACATTGTCATATTAATGTATAGAAACGTCTGTGGTCAACACGTACTGACATCAATGATGTGTAGGACTCTCGTCTCTACATTGTCATATTAATGTATAGAAACGTCTGTGGTCAACACGTACTGACATCAATGATGTGTAGGACTCTCGTCTCTACATTGTCATATTGATGTATAGAAACGTCTGTGGTCAACACGTACTGACATCAATGATGTGTAGGACTCTCGTCTGTACATTGTCATATTAATGTATGGAAACGTCTGTGGTCAACACGTACTGACATCAATGATGTGTAGTACTCTCGTCTGTACATTGTCATATTAATTTATGGAAACGTGTGTGGTCAACACGTACTGACATCAATGATGTGTAGGACTCTCGTCTGTACATTGTCATATTAATGTATAGAAACGTCTGTGGTCAACACGTACTGACATCAATGATATGTAGTACTCTCGACTGTACATTGTCATATTAATGTATAGAAACGTCTGTGGTCAACACGTACTGACATCAATGATGTGTAGGACTCTCGTCTGTACATTGTCATATTAATGTATAGAAACGTCTGTGGTCAACACGTACTTAAATCAATGATGTGTAGTACTCTCGTCTCTACATTGTCATATTAATGTATAGAAACGTCTGTGGTCAACACGTACTGGCATCAATTATGTGTAGGACTCTCGTCTCTACATTGTCATATTAATGTATAGAAACGTCTGTGGTCAACACGTACTGACATCAATGATGTGTAGTACTCTCGTCTCTACATTGTCATATTAATGTATAGAAACGTCTGTGGTCAACACGTACTGACATCAATGATGTGTAGTACTCTCGTCTCTACATTGTCATATTAATGTATAGAAACGTCTGTGGTCAACACGTACTGACATCAATGATGTGTAGGACTCTCGTCTCTACATTGTCATATTAATGTATAGAAACGTCTGTGGTCAACACGTACTGACATCAATGATGTGTAGGACTCTCGTCTCTACATTGTCATATTAATGTATAGAAACGTCTGTGGTCAACACGTACTGACATCAATGATGTGTAGGACTCTCGTCTGTACATTGTCATATTGATGTATAGAAACGTCTGTGGTCAACACGTACTGACATCAATGATGTGTAGGACTCTCGTCTGTACATTGTCATATTAATGTATAGAAACGTCTGTGGTCAACACGTACTGACATCAATGATGTGTAGGACTCTCGTCTCTACATTGTCATATTAATGTATAGAAACGTCTGTGGTCAACACGTACTGACATCAATGATGTGTATTACTCTCGTCTGTACATTGTCATATTAATGTATAGAAACGTCTGTGGTCTACGCGTACTGACATCAACGATGAAGAACAGAGAAAGTTGTATAAAATCACGTGATTTACAAAATATACAGTTATGATACAAGTTAATCGTCAGATATAATCATCATTCATACGTCATGTACGCAGTAAATATATATACATTAATAAACATACTTGTGCTGGTGTTGGCAACCACATACTGCATAGACGTAGGATATATAACTATGTCATACACACCATACCTCCACTCTAGATGTCATACACGATATATATATATATCTGATAAATAACATATTGCAGGTATACATAAACTATCATTGTCCGCATAGGGAACGAGTGTAGATTCCTCCTCGCCACCAGGTGCCAACATCCCGTAACGAGACAGACAGGACACGGAATCCGTTTAGAGTCGTTGCTCCGCGTGTTTCCGCATCAAGTCGGGATTCACTGCATACGTTCTGTCTGACCAGCACACACAATTTGGGCTTCTGCCAGTGTGCGCGGTCCTTTGTTATATGCATTAGTGTTTGGGGGGAAATCTTCCCTTTTTGAAACAACAGAAGCCGTCTGGAATATATTGAACATCTACAATACAGGTGTGTCTGATCCTGGTGTGTCTGATCCTGGTTGGCTGATCCTGGTGTGTCTGATCCTGGTGTGTCTGATCCTGGTGTGTCTGATCCTGGGTTGTCTGATCCTGGGTTGTCTGATCCTGGTGTGTCTGATCCTGGTGTGTCTGATCCTGGTGTGTCTGATCCTGGTGTGTCTGATCCTGGTGTGTCTGATCCTGGGTTGTCTGATCCTGGTGTGTCTGATCCTGGTGTGTCTGATCCTGGGTTGTCTGATCCTGGTGTGTCTGATCCTGGTGTGTCTGATCCTGGTGTGTCTGATCCTGGTGTGTCTGATCCTGGTTGGCTGATCCTGGGTTGTCTGATCCTGGTGTGTCTGATCCTGGTGTGTCTGATCCTGGGGTCAGTCGGAGCCCAACCCGCTGTCCCTCTCCCCACGTACTATTGCTTGCACGCGCTCGTCCGCCCGCATCCATTCCTCATCCTCTGGATCCAGAATCTCACTGGATTCAAACCCGGAACAACTGCTGGTGGTGGACCCGCGCCTTGTCGCCACTCCACTCTTCCCTTCGACACACCCTGGGAGCAGACCGTTCATCCCCCCGGGGGCCTCCTCTGACCCCTTCTCGCCACGTTTCTCTTGAAGTTGCGTGTGCTGCTGGCGCATTTGCCTGCCCCTGTTTGCTCTCCAGTCTCTATAAGCGACATGGAAGGCTCGGGACAACACGAGAGCCATGGCCCGGGCTGTCTCGCGGCTGCCACACAGCACGGCATGACACTCCAGGCGGCGCACCCCCGGTACTTTCCAGATCCAGCAGAACACCCGCTCCTCCGCTATCTTGTCGGCGTTGCAGAACGTGATGTTCTCAATACCAAACTTCTTACCTTCCTCCTTCTTGTGGTCCTTCAGTACAATCCCAGACGCACTTATCACCATTAACACTTTCTTCAGATGGCGCTCCGACGGTGAGTTATCCCAGAGTTTCTGAACCGGTATTATGGCACATCCTTTCCCGTTTGCTGTGAACGTTTCCACATTTCCCAGATACCTCGCCTCGAACATAGGGTCCTTCTCTGTGATCGTAGCACTGTGTTTTTTCCTCCCGAACATTCTTCACTAAACTCAAATACTCCCGTGAAACAAACAAATGAGACTCTTAGCTCGACTCCTTGTCTACATGCCTGACTGGCGGACGACACACGATAGCCGATATATCCCGACTTGTCAATAAACATCCAGGGAAACACCAGCAGTAATTCTCACTTGAACCAGGTAAGACAGGTATTCCAGAAATGAGATTGCATGTGTCAGTCACAGTCCGGGATGAGCCGACGGATCGATCCTCGCGGTCCACACACGTCATGTGACAGACGAGCTTACATACACAGGGGAGACAACTCCGTCAGCTCAACAGGTGTCGTCTGCTTGTCAACAGTCGTGCTACTTGATGTCCTGCTGTGGATTTGAGGCGTGTCTCTGTCAACACGGTCTTCCCCAGGACTTACAGTAGAATGTGCGATGTCCCATAATACTGCGTGAAACTAGAAACGAGCAGGTGAAACATAATTGTATTTCATTAATGAAATCACGAAGAAACCGTTTGTAACTATTTTACTAGGGTATGCTGGAATGTCGTGACGATCAGCGGGCACTGATGAATAAGCACAATTCCTATAAGTCATTGTCAGTGCTGTGTGGACTGACACTGTGGTGTTGCAGGGGAGTCACCTTGAGTTCCTCTGTAACCATAGTAACAAGGTTCTGTGTCCAGCGGTTATAGGGTGTGCATTATTTCCAAATGTTGAACCTATTTTAATCATAATTTGCTCTCATCAAAATATCAGTGTTGGTTGTCATTTCTCAGGAATCCTTATTTACAAATATTATGATCACTAAACAAACCAGAAATAAACTAAAAATAGCATCAAACATATGAAAAGGGGAACCATTTAGTATTTTCATAATGCACACTGCACACCTTGATTAAAACAATTATTTATCATTATGCTCAGTGCACACCTTGATTAAAACAATTATTAATCAAAATACTCAGTGCACACCTTAGTAGTATATAGTGAGGGCCTCACTATATACTACTCACCTTGTTTAAAACAATTATTTATCATAATGTTCAGTGCACACTTTGTTTAAAACAATTATTTATCATAATAGTCAGTGCACACCTTGATTAAAACAATTATTTATCATAATGCTCAGTGCACACCTTGATGTATGTTTATAGTGATACATAACTTAATACACTGCCAATGCGGTGAATATATAGTTAGGTATGTTTATAGTGATACATAACTTAATACACTGCCAATGCGGTTAATATATAGTTAGGTATGTTTATAGTGATACATATCTTAATACACTGCCAATGCGGTTAATATATAGTTAGGTATGGTTACAGTGATACATATCTTTATACACTGCCACTGTGGTTGATATATAGTGAGGTATGTTTATAGTGATACATATCTTAATACACTGCCAATGCGGTTAATATATAGTTAGGTATGTTTATAGTGATACATATCTTAATACACTGCCAATGCGGTTAATATATAGTTAGGTATGTTTATAGTGATACATATCTTAATACACTGCCAATGCGGTTAATATATAGTTAGGTATGTTTATAGTGATACATATCTTAATACACTGCCAATGCGGTTAATATATAGTTAGGTATGTTTATAGTGATACATATCTTAATACACTGCCACTGTGGTTGATATATAGTGAGGTATGTTTATAGTGATTCATATCTTAATACACTGCCAATGCGGTTAATATATAGTTAGGTATGTTTATAGTGATACATATCTTAATACACTGCCAATGCGGTTAATATATAATTAGGTATGTTTATAGTGATACATATCTTAATACACTGCCAATGCGGTTAATATATAGTTAGGTATGTTTATAGTGATACATATCTTAATACACTGCCAATGCGGTTAATATATAGTTAGGTATGTTTATAGTGATACATATCTTAATACACTGCCGCTGTGGTTGATATATATAGTGAGGTATGTTCATAGTGATACTTATCTTAATACACTTGTACTCATCTGTGGCTGATAGATAGTTAGGTATGTTTATAGTGATACATATCTTAATACACTTCTACTCATCGGTGGCTGATAGATAGTTAGGTATGTTTATAGTGATACATATCTTAATACACTTCTACTCATCTGTGGCTGATAGATAGTTAATTATGTTTTTAGTGATACATATCTTAATACATTGCTACTGATAGTCGATCTATAGTTAGGTATGTTTATAGTGATACATATCTTAATACACTGCTACTCATCTGTGGCTGATAGATAGTTCGGTGTATGTATTGGGATACTGTAACTGACAGTGTGACTTACTGTTGATGAGTGTCGTAACTGTGTCACCTGGTGCATGTTAAGGTTCTATAGAAGCTTATAGCTTTGTTTGTGAGGACGTTACTATAGTTAGATGCTTGTGTGATATGTAAAATTCCGGTGCAGCGTGGACTGGCTTGGAGCGTTAGAGAATATTCGTGAAGGTGTTTGGGCTATATAAGAAGGCGAAGGCGTGACAACTCATCTGACATTACATCTCACATTCATCTGACATTACATCAAGACCAGCGGTTGCACGATGATCACTTATCACAGTGGATATTCAGCCAAGGCCTATCTCGGAAGCTTGAACACTACCGCTGATGTGTGAATATATTATTATCACTTGTTTTTGCCGCCAGCACAGTTTGTGTATTTGATACTGATACTGAAACTGATATTATTACTGATACTGGCTCTGATACTGATACTGTTACTGTTACTGATACTGACACTGATACTGGCGCTGACACTGACACTGTTACTGAAACTAACACTGATACTGACACTGACACTGTTACTGACACTGACATTGATACTGTTACTGATACTGTTACTGATACTGCTATTGATACTATACTGATACTGACACTGAAACTATTACTGACACTGGTACTGACACTGAAACTATTACTGACACTGGTACTGACACTGATACTAATACTGATACTGATACTGATACTGATACTGACACTGACACTGATACTGACACTGACACGACACTGACACTGATACTGACACTGACACTGATACTGACACTGATACTGACACTGTCACTGTCACTGATACTGATACTGATACTGATACTGACACTGATACTGATACTGTTACTGTTACTGTTACTGTTAGTGACACTGACACTGATACTGATACTGATACTGATACTGACACTGACATTGACACTGACACTGATACTGACACTGACACTGATACTGACACTGACACTGATACTGTTACTGTTACTGACAGTAATACTGACACTGACACTGACACTGACACTGATACTGTTACTGATACTGATACTGACACTGACACTGACACTGATATTGATACTGTTACTGTTACTGTTACTGACACTGATACTAACACTGATACTGATACTGACACTGACACTGACACTGATACTGACACTGACACTGACACTGACACTGTTACTGTTACTGTTACTGTTACTGTTACTGACACTGATACTGACACTGACACTGACACTGTCACTGATACTGATACTGACACTGACACTGACACTGACACTGTTACTGACACAGACATTGACACTGACACTGACACTGTTACTGATACTCACACTGACGCTGACACTGACACTGATACTGATACTGACACTGACACTGACACTGACACTGACACTGATACTGATACTGTTACTGTTACTGTTACTGACACTGACACTGACACTGACACTGATACTGACACTGACACTGACACTGACACTGACACTGATACTGACACTGACACTGACACTGACACTGATACTGACACTGACACTGATACTGACACTGTTACTGACACTGATACTGACACTGACACTGACACTGACACTGATACTGACACTGACACTGACACTGATACTGACACTGATACTGATACTGACACTGATACTGACACTGATACTAATACTGACACTGATACTGACACTGACACTGACACTGATACTGACACTGACACTGACACTGACACTGACACTGATACTGACACTGATACTGACACTGACACTGATAGTGATACTGACACTGACACTGATACTGACACTGATACTGATACTGATACTGACACTGACACTGATACTGACACTGACACTGATACTGATACTGACACTGACACTGATACTGACACTGATACTGACACTGACACTGATACTGACACTGACACTGATACTGACACTGACACTGACACTGACACTGACACTGATACTGTCACTGATACTGATACTGATACTGACACTGACACTGACACTGACACTGATACTGACACTGACACTGACACTGACACTGATACTGACACTGACACTGACACTGACACTGACACTGACACTGATACTGACACTGACACTGACACTGACACTGATACTGATACTGATTCTGACACTGGCACTGATACTGTTAGTGATACTGACACTGATACTGACACTAATACTGTTACTGACACTGATACTGATACTGACACTGATACTGACACTGATACTGATACTGATACTGATACTGATACTGATACTGATACTGATACTAACACTGACACTGATACTTACACTTACACTTACACTGATACTGATACGGATACTTATACTGATACTGATACTGATACTGATACTGATACTGATACTGACACTGACACTGATACTGACACTGATACTGATACTGACACTGATATTGTTAACTAATTTAATGAGACTGTCCAACAGACTGTCAGAGGATGTCCAGCTTTGGCACAAATGCAGCATCTTAAGCGACATGATGGAGTGGCTCGATTCTTTTATTACCGTCTTCGCTATGCTTGTCTCTGACTCCCATATGAATGTTGTGGCAGTCTCTGACTCCCATATTAATGTTGTGGTAGTCTCTGACTCCCATATGAATGTTGTGGTTACCTCTGACTCCCATATGAATGTTGTGGTAGCCTCTGACTCCCATATGAATGTTGTGGTAGCCTCTGACTCCCATATGAATGTTGTGGTAGCCTCTGACTCCCATATGAATGTTATGGTAGCCTCTGACTCCCATATGAATGTTGTGGCAGTCTCTGACTCCCATATGAATGTTGTGGTAGTCTCTCACTCCAATATGAATGTTGTGGTAACCTCTGACTCCCATGTGAATGTTATGGTAGTCTCTGACTCCCATGTGAATGTTATGGTAGCCTCTGACTCCCATGTGAATGTTATGGTAGCCTCTGACTCCCATGTGAATGTTATGGTAACCTCTGACTCCCATGTGAATGTTGTGGTAACCTCT